GAAGAGGAGCTTGCTGAGAAATAAGGGACTGCAGGGAGATCGTCACAAGTCCCCGTAGATTCACTGACAACTTAACCAACGTGCGAATCAAGAAGATGCGGTCGGGGATGCAAACCTGGCTCAGAACCCTTCCCCAGGGCTGTGGGCAGCCCCCAGGATTGTTGATGGTCGTCCCTGGGGTTGTGGACAGTGAGTGGGAGCCCCGTTCCTCTGCGTAGTTAGTGATGCCGCTAGTGTGTGTGAGCCCAGACTGAGCCCTGCTGGCTAGTGCGTAGGAAGGGCAAGGCAGCGTAGCCAGATCGTAGGTAGATCCCTGTATGTGTGGCGGTTCCACGGTGGGGGTGGGGGGTGGAGGGAGCCTACTTTTGAAATGAACTAATCGGAGCCTCTTGAGAAATAGTTACTCGTTGGACTGGAGCATCGGGACATGTCACTGTGGGCGCTGCTGGCAGTTTCTGTTCCCCCGGCCAGGAGGCGTGCTGTACCTGGGCTCCGCCTGTTTCCAGGGCAGTGGCGAGGAGTCAGGGTGGGGCCGTTGTCACTGCTCAGAGGGACCTTCCCAGGAGGATGGAGACCCTGGGAGCCTCCCAGGGAATTCCAGTGGAGACGCCTGGGACCAAGCCAGTGCCCTGGGGAGCAGTTAGTGAGCGCAGACTCGTGCCCGTGTCTTCGGTCACCCTTGTGCGACCTGTGAACCCCTGTCCCCGAATGCAGGCCCTCCGCACACCCGGGTCCTCGAGTGAAATGAGTTGACAAAGCACAACATTTGCTGTTTACATCCAACGACAAGGGTCTAAAAGTTCCTCTTCCTCCAGGTCACTGGTTTTGCGTTTTTAACTTCAATTGGCCCCTTGGCTTTTTTCTTAAATAACGAAGCACCCTCGAGCTGCCCGGCCCTGGACCAGGTGCGGGTGACGAGGCCCCACCTGTCCATGCAGAATCTTATGTACCTTTTGGATAGCAAGAGCCTGGGCGGTCTCAGCAGCGCCGGCAGTTTTCTATCCCACGTTTGTGTAAGATACATTTTGTTGCCCCCAGAACTTGGGTGAGAACCTGCTCCACGGGTGGGAGTCCCTCTTGCCGAGGTTCGAGCGTGGGTGCTCCTGGCGGGGGAAGCCCCGGAGAGCCCACGGTGAGGAGAGAACTGGGAGCAGACTGCGCACGTGTCTGCAGCACGTGGCTCCGTGCTCTTCCGTTCTCTTCCACAGGGTCCTGTTTCCTGTGTTCGCAGAATAAAAACGCCTTTGGACGTGTGCTCTGACTGTTTCTGCTGGGAGCGGAAGGAGGGCAGAGTGAGGCACCTGCAGTGGGTTCTCTCGGCAGGTGGGGGTGGGGGGTGGTGGTGACGCAGCCAATCTCCGGAAAATTGGACTAGACACCATCAGAGAATATAAGGCAGTTTTGGATCATCAACACATTTTGTTTTTATTTAAAAATATTTTTTTTAATGATGAGAAATGAGAGAATCATGGATTGGCTGCCTCCTGCACGCCCCACACTGGGGATTGAGCCCATAACCCAGGCATGTGCCCTGACCTGGAATCAAACCGTAACGTCCTGCTTCCTAGGTTGCCGCTCAACCACTGAGCCACTCCGGCCACGCTCATTTTAAAAATCTAACGAAGGAAAAGTGATCTGAGCAGGTGGGAAGGGAGGGGCAGCAATCAGGTAAACTCAGCCCAGACCGGCTTCCCACAGGCAGGTGAGCCTGGATTTTACCCGTGGCTCTGCTTGTGCATCTCAGACATATTGGCCGGTGTATTGGCTGCACTTAGATGAATCAGCGTGGCGATCACGTGGAAAAAGCAGCATCTTCTCTCCAACTCTGAAGACAGCACAGGAAATAGGCCAGATGAGGCAGCAACTCCTGGTGGCTGGGTCCCAGCTGGCTCACACGCCTCTCGCCTCTCCGGACAGGACAGCGGCCTGCCACCAGCTCCCCCTGCAGAGGGGCGCAGGGTCCCTTACAGGCCCAGGTCAGGACTGGGGACGGGAAGCCGAGGCTCGCTTTTATCTGCCTCTCACATTGAAGTTCAAAAAGTGCAGGTGGCCCTGGCTGGTGTGCTCAGTGGGTAGAACCCGCACTATGGAGGGTCTCGGGGTCGATTCCCGGTCAAGGGTATGCGCTGGGTTGCAAGTTCAATCCTTGGCCCCAGCGGAGTTGTGCAGGAGGCAACCAAGCGATGTGTCTCTCACATCCACGTTTCTCCCCACCCACCTCCATTCTCTAAAAATCAATGGAAAACATACCCTCGGGTGAGGATTTAATTTAAAAAAAAAGTTCATTGTGGCTCTCAAGGCACACAAGTACGAAAACAGGAATCTGGAGCAGCTTCGGAACTGGAAGAAGACAGATCGGAGCAGATGGAAGCCGGGTCTGCGGAGAAGGCGGCGGGGGAGACGCTGTCAGTTTCCAGGCTGGGGCCCAGCAG